AAAAAAAAAAGTTTGATATTATAGCTTAGAATATTAGTAAAAAATTAAGATTAAAAATTAAGATTATTGATGATTATTGTGAAACACCATTAATTTTAATGAACTTTAAAATCTTGCTACTTTTTTAAATAAAAACTATGTTTTTTAGTTTCTATATTTTATACTTTACTATTTTATATTTTTTTATTTTATTTTTTCATATGAAGAATATTATATAATGCAAAGGAAATGAAATTTGCATCTAAAATTAATATCAAAAAAAAGTTTGTTAAAACTTGATTGTAGATGTCCTCAATTTAAGTGCTCCATTTAAATCGTTTCACGTATGTCCGCATTTTCGCAATCGATAGAAATCTTCGCTCGATATATTATACTTCATGGAAGTAGAAAGTCTTACGACTTTACGTGGGCTTGTGTATGGTATGTGCAGTTCAGGCTGCTACAATACGCTTCAGAAATCGCTTCAGAAATTACCGCGACGTAATCAGTCACTAAAAAACTCTTGACTAATATTATTCAATAATCACTAATATTAAACATTATGTAACTGTATATAACAGAAAGAAATTTTCTTATGAGCGAACCGCAATATTAGTTATCTAAAATAATTACTAGTAAAATAATTACTAGTATAATTATCTAAATAATTATTAGTTATCTAAAATAACTAGTTATAATATTTTATACATTTAGCAATTTCTTACTGTTAAAGCGTCGATCGTCTTTCAGTAAAGAGATCGTAATTTCAGTAAAGAGAAACGCAGAAAGTTCAAATTTTGGAACGTCAGTTATTCATTAGACTCTATTATTTTGTAACATGCACGATTATACCATTAATTTACGCGTTACACATTCGCGTCACGTACTGTGAAGAGATCGAAATGGATTGTCGAAATTCTCGAATGACCGGGAACGAATCGCTGGCATTGGCCGATAGTCAGACTCGATCAGCGACGTGGGCCATCGAGCAACAGTCATATACTGCAATCGCCGTGTTAGGTCGAAGGGAAACAATTTCTCGAACGATCGTGCGTGAACGATAGAAACTGCCGTTTTGTTACCGCAAATCGTGAGTGACGCATAAACTTCCCAGCGGAAAAGGTTTCGGAATCAAGACTCTCTTGCGTAAAAATTTGAAATTAATATCGCTTCAAGATGCATTATAAAACAGTGTGCTTATGAGTGTTGAAGAAGGTAGTTAAGTGATTGAATAATCTTTGAAGAAATGTATGTGGGCTTAAAGAGAAGAAATATTTTAGAATGTCTGGATTTAAAAGCTATCAATGTAAGTTGCTGTCAATGTAAATCAACAAATATAAACTTATTGCTTAAAGGCATAGATTATTTTAATTTAATAAGTTGTTATTTAATAAATTGTGAAGATCAAATAAAATTCTTATTTAGAAATTAAAAAATTTAAAATTTTTTTAAATCGAATTATGTCTCTTCATTATGTTTCTTCAAAAAATATCGCAAGTTATGTAATTGATTTATTAAGTAATGAATCATAATATGTACGAGCGTTTTATTCCTCCAACTTCAATCGGCAATTTTCCTGTTGCGGTTTTACTTTGACAAATACTTTCCTTATTTCGCTAAATGATGACAGTCGACTTACGTAATAACTGCTAAATCTTTTTCGTGCAGTCATCGTTCAACTCTCACTACATGATATTTATGATTTTGGTCCTATGAAATATAATTTTATAAACTGTGTTATAAGACATTCTTTATACGTAATATACATAATATTTACGTAATATCTTATTTTTTATAGTGTATTAAAGTTCAAAAGATAGTTATATTATTCAATGTCATTGAATAATACAACTGTTACTTATTCTTAAAAATATTTTAATAAATTTCTATATATTCTTTTAAAGGTTTCTTTTTACAAATTTAAATATACCTTAGTTATTTTATTAAAAATGTGTTTTTCTCATTAATCTTTTATGACACATATTCTTAATCCTATAAATATTTTTTTTTGCAGATGTATATGTCATCAATCAATTCCTTTGCAGCCAACTGCTTGCTTCTTTATTTGATCAGTTCATTTTGTAGCAGAGCCGAAAAGTCAGACTGGATCCCTTACAAAATCAACGATTCTGCGCATTATCAATTTCGATCGATACAACCAGAATCAGTTCTCTCAGAAGAACAGTTCCGGTCTAATGTTCCAAAACGTCCACAATACGTTCATCATCCTAAGCATAATTTGATGCAACCTGGGATACTTATTAAGGATCGCTCTGAAGACAACGCGAAGAAAAATATAGCAAGATTCATGTCAGAATATGAGTTAGAAGAAATCTACAGACCGTACTATGATTCTCAATTTATTAGAAATGAAAAAATTCCTAAAAAAGAAAACGCACGATTAGAGCACGAAGAGACTCGAGAAATTGACGAGGAAATAATGAAGAAAATGAGTTTGCTAGACAAAGTATTATCCGAAGATACTGACAAGTATGACATTGAGATGAAGAACACTATTGAAGACGAAATCATTGCGGAAATGAACATCTCTGAAGAGACAAAAAGAGTTGTCAGGCAAGTTCGTAAGCAGCGGCCCGGATTCTTTTGGACCTTAGCAAGGCTTGCTTTTGAGGTATAAATTTTAACATGTTTTGATAGTAATGCTTCTCAAACGTGACATAATATTTAAAAAAGAATAAATTAGTAATATTAATATTTTGCCAATTCAGCTTCTCTTTAAAAGAAGTTTTTTTATATAAAAAAATATGTAACATTTTAAAAAAAGCTTTTTCAATATTATATACACATATATGTATATATCTTTTTTTAAATATTATATATACGAGAGAAGAGGAGAGAGTATTACTACTTTTTATTATATATATATATAAAATGTATAAATTATATTTTATTATGTATATGATAAAATTCTATAATGCATATTAATTGAAAAATTTAATTATAGACATAGTTACAATTATCTGTCAAAATAGTAGAAATATTTATAGAATATTCCAAATACACAATACCATATTCCAATACAAGCAATTTATTTTCAACAAATGTTAATCCCTTTAGATTTGATTTTATTGGAAATATGTTAAAAAAATTATTTCTTAAAATTTAATTCATGCGTACTTCAATAAATAATTCATACTAAAAAAATTAATGTGTTTCAAAATTTGACTGTTTTTTCGACATATACATTATTATTATTATGTACATAAAATCTCTCAGATGTAGATAAAATTAAATAATTTCGATAATATCGATGGATAATATCTTTAAATTTGATATTATAAATTTGATATTATAATGTAAACAGGGTCTGAAGAGATTAATTCGATTTTTTTCTTATTGGAAACATTTTTTTCCATCGAGCTTTAAGCGGAAAGAAAGTGAAAGTTTCTTTTTGGTCGATTAATGACATTTTATTTTCAGACATTCAATGATACGCGATCGGCGATTAAACAAATTAGTAGTATTATTAATCAAAATATCGAACCGGATTCAACTACACGACGACCAGTCAACAGTCATTCATTGACAGTCACCAATACAACAACAGTTACACCGATGAATGAACAGAATAATACGTCCAGCGACACGGTAGGCGTTAATACAACGACGACAACGACAACCTCGACCACACAAGCACCTTTCAGACTCACACCAACTAATCTGCAAAATTTGATTAGAAGAAATTTGCGTGGTTTAGTGAGACTCTTTAATATCGAATGGCAGGAGGCTCTGAATGTAAGTTTTTACTATATTCTCTTATTTTTGCTAATTTTTCTTTAAATATATTTACTATATATATATATATATATATTGAATTATTGTTTAATAATGGTACAATAAATTGTACAAAAATTTGATCTTTCAGCAATCAGACATAACTGTAAAGGAGTTTCAAAAGAATCTTGGGAATCAAGTAGGCAGTTTCCTACAAGACAACCCAAATGCTTTTTAAAAGCAACAAAGACAACATCACAAAAAAGAATAGATAAAATTTCAAAATCAAAAAGTTCTGAACTGAATACAATATAATAATTTATAACAAGCTCCATAATTTAGCTAAAGATTTTGTCTGAAAATTTCTAATAATGATATTTATATTTTTAATAATATATTTGCATTTTGTTGAATATTTTATACAATAGCTCAATTTTTAAATAGAAGAAATAGATAGAATTTAAGCAAAAAAATAGTTATATCTCCATTCATTAAAATTCATTGCATAGTTATTAGATATAATATGTAGATAAAATGCACACTTAATATTTCTTCATTTTTTTATCATATTATTGTTTAAATCAAATGAATCTTTATGAATGTGCCAATAATGGTAATAATGATGACATAGTTCCTACTATTTTTGACTCGGTCATTTCAAGACTTTTCAAATTAATCTGTTCATCAAATTACAACGTTGAATAGCCGAAATTATGCTCTAGCTCTGCGGGCGATTTCATCATAGATTAACATTCCTTTTATATCTCCGATATAAGTCGATTTACACAATCATTTTTGGCACTTAACCCACGTCTAAATTTCGTAAGTGTAAGATAAAAAAAGGAGCGGATAATTTATTCGAATGATTGGTCAGTGTGAAAGAGGATCTGGAGATCACGACTAGTGTGACATGATTGCAGTAAGTAGAAAGCACCTTCTTTATCCAAAGAAATCAATGCGAATCTGCAAATCCTTAAGTCGGATTGGTCGACGATTTGTGTGGGATTCAGCGGCAACCCTTATAGATCGACGAAGCAGATCCATGATTCAATCGTACTTGTGTCGACTTGAGTTGAAACTCGTAGAAGCCAGCCTTACACGCAATCTACTTCGAAAGGATGTTTTGGTGTTATAACTTTCTGATCTTTCTTCTTCTACTAGGCGACACATATGGCGTAAGTTATTTTAATTAAAAATTCTATAAATAAAGGAAAATAACATTTTTTTTTAAAAGTTCCAAAGTCTTTTTTTCCAAAAGTTTTAAATTTAAGTCATGCAGTTTGAAAGATTAGAGATGACAAGCTTAATTACATCTTTTCTACATCTCTCTGACTCTAAATTTCACAAATATGATATAATTCTCGGTGTAATAATGCTTCAATAATCATTAAAATGCTAATATTATTTTTACTATTTTAAGAATTATTGTTTCTGATATTATATTATATTAGTTTACAAATTTTAACAATTTTTAATATAAAGAAAGAAAATGACGTTTTCAAAATATTTTGGGATGCTAAATTCAAAACTGTCACCAAACTGTCACAAAACAGTTATAAAAATTCCATCTGATCGAATATTTAAAATGTAGTATGTTAATTTTTAAGATATAGCACTTCTGAATAATTTGAGTCCGACAAATGATGAGTAAGATGAACGTTTTCAAGATTTGATATATTATAATAATTAAAAAAATTTTGTGTGTGTGTGTGTGTGTGTGTGTGTGTGTGTGTGTGTGTGTGTGTGTGTGTGTGTGTGAGAAGAATATGGGACAAAAACATGCTAAGTGATTATTGCTGAACTCTAACACGTAAAACCAATTTAAAGTTACATAAAAAATAAAAATTAAACACTCAGCACTTTTAATTTATTTTCTAATTTTAAAACTGCGTTATACATAAAAAATAAATGTCTTTCTTATATACTCTCAAAAATCGGATTTAATGGAAATAATTCGATGATATTTTGATGGCTCAGTATCAAAATTATCCCAGAAACAGTCTTAATATGCTCTTGCAAAAATCTTGTGAACTAATGCTATTAGTTAGTCACTTATGTTAATTATTTGTTTATTTTCAAAATTTCAAAAGCTAAAATCTCGCTTTACAAAAAGATATCTTGTGTTTTAATAGAGATTATTATAAAATTATTTCACTCTTAATATTGAGTGAGGAGGATAGCGTGAATTAACCTTTCCAATAATTGATGAAGATTATTCAACATTTTTTTAATTTGTAAAAAGTGAAAGTTGTGATAAATATTGTGGATCCGCATTGGTACGTAACATTTACCTGTGTGCACTCTGACAGGTTTAAGCGTGAGTCGTCACACATAATATCTCATGGAACAAATTTCTATTTTGTCTGCTACAATAGTTTTCACTTGTTACTTTACAAACAGAAACTCGAGGAATAATTTATTAGAAGTATTTTCACGTTGTCACAAGTAAAAACGATTAATGTTTTGCATGTATTTCAGGGCATATCAAAGAGCAGAGTACGACGCCAAGATTCACCAACACAAAGTGGTCAGTTGATAGACAGTATCTTCAATGTAAGCGTTATAGCAAGCTTTTCTATTCAAAAAATATATACTGATTACTCAATTAATTAATTATTATACAAAAATGGAAAAACGTTAAATAGTAAAATATCAAATCTCTTTATTTTAAAAGCATTCTGATAACTTTAAAAATGAAGAAAGAAAGGATTTGTTGTTAATAAATTAATTTTGTTTTAAAAATTATAGAATTTTTATCTTACAGATTCCAATCACAGCGATTAGACAAACCGCTTCAGCCGTCCAAATTATTTCGCCAGGGAACACGCAGAGAATTGACAGTATTGTTAAGGTCATATGTGTAAAATTCCTTATGTATATTTAAAATGTATTTAATTATTTTCTATAATAAACAAAATTATTTACAGATCCCTGTCTCAACTTTACAAGCTATCGGCACATTTGTAAAAACTACAAGAGAGCAGGGGCAACAAATTCCGGATAATATTCAAGCTCGTCAAGAGAGGAGAGAACGGATTTTGGCTCTAAAAGAGCAGAAAAGAAAGCGAAAAGAGGAAATTCAAAATCAGCGATTACTGCAGCAACAATTGAAGAGAACTGTTAGACATCATCAAAAGGATCCGCTTGGATTAAATGCATGGAGTAATCTTTTGGTTGGACATCACGCTGATGGACTTTTAGGCCATTATTCTGGATTGGGTGGCCGGCGTCACAGAGATCATAAAATTGGTCAGGGCCTTCACAAACCTGGAATTCATCATGGCATTCATGGTAAGTAATATAAGTAGGTATTTAGAAGGTATCCGAGCGCACAAAATCGCTAATTAGTCAATTTAAAATAAAATATTCTTATTGGTAAAGCAATAAAAATTTACTAAGCCTCTCTTCCTAACCGATGTTAGTAAATGTGTGTTATCTGGATACATATTAACGAGAGTTAACGAGAATTAACGAGAGCCAAGTATTTCCGCTGTTTTCTTTTTCTTTCTTTTCTTTTTCTTCTTTTTCCTCTCACGTTATATCTGTGACCTGTGTTACACCTTTCTCATATGCTTGTGATGCGCATGCTGATTATTCAATTGCCACAAGCATATGGGACTACAATTTTAATGCCGATTCCGAATAGCAGATTTTTCGAGTATTTTTGTGGGCAAGAATATTTTTGGAAGATTGACTTTTTCCGAGAAAAGATGAGAGCGTAAAAATTTTTTTCATTAATTCCTACCAGGATCGAACTGTTTTCTTAAAGGAAAAAAATACATTATTTTTAAAACTATTATGTGTAATTAGTACTTTTTTTTATGTTACCTATAATATATTTTATAGATAATGTAAATAATAAATAGATAATATGGAAAGAATGATTTTGTTAAATTTTTAAAAAATTAATTCGATATAAATCTGACTAATAATTTTATTAAACTATCAAAATAATTAGGATCTTTAAGTTGATTGCTGAACAACGTCAAAAATTTTTGCAACATTATCATTTTTATTAAGTGTGTCTTACATAATTATTTTAATGGTCTAACAAAGTTATTTTTATGTTTATTTAGTAAAATTTTTACTTTAACAAAATTGCTCTTTCCAAGTAGATGTAAGTGTTACAAACATTGTATAAATTTATATAAATATATATATATTATTTACATATTGTTTGTCAAAGGTGGATATCTGGGAAATCATCCGCAGCATACCTACGAAGTGCATGAGAATGTTAATGAAGATACATCTTTCTCTTGGCACGGTTTGACAGCAGGATTTAGCACTTTCACTGGAATCCGACCTTCTAATATTTCTATTAAAATTGAAAATAAAGTCGCTCCTAAGGAGAATATTAAAAATAAATTGGCGCAAGAATATGACGATCCGTTGGAAAATAAAATTGCTCCTAGAAATGGAAGAGTAACATTTGTGCAATAATGATGTAAATATCTAATAATGATGTATCAGATATAAACTTATTCTTATTGTTAGTTACAAATACTCACCAAACATTGCTCACATTCATAATTTTCTATACTTATTCTCATAAGAATTTTTAAAAAGGTGCATCTTAGTAAACATATTAAATTAATATAAGAAATATTTTACAGTTAAAAAATGATAATATATAATGCTCAATATAACATGGAATAAGTAATTATTTTTTCTAGCTTAAAATGTTACAATGTATTTGGTACTCTAACTGTATTATAATCGTAAAAGTCTTTATTTTTAACTTTAGAGTCTTTATACTTTATTGTTTTATTTAAATTAATGAATTGTTAAATACATTTACTTATACTAATTTTTTGTAGG